AAATTAGGGATTAAAAAATAAAGAACAAAGGATTACTATAAGGAAGAAGAACTGAAACATCTTGTTATTTTATTGTTTTCTGTCTCCATACCCAATATGTTTTCTTTATAGCATTTATTACGACTTAGAATTATTTCAGTTACTTGTTTTAAAACAAAACAAAACAAGGCTTGAGCTTCCATCTATTTTCTTCATATTTTGCTGTGCCCTTAGTAAGGGCCTGTCTTATTCTTAGCATTGAATATTTGTATGTAGGCTGATATGAAAGAATAAATGATGAATGAAAGCATGCTAAATTAGATTATTTTCTCTTAAAAAACAGCAAATTTGTTTTGTAACTATGACAGGAGTTTGTCATTTACATCTTTCAAACTAGCTTAGTAGACAGTAATCTGCAACCATATTTTATAGAAGGCACGTATCTACTATTTTAAATGGCTAATTCATTGATTAAAACTTTAAAGATTAGTAGAGTATATTAGAAGATAACTCCCCAAGTTATTGTCTGAGAATTGAGACGTTATAATCTTATCTTCCTTGAAGAATCTGAATGAATGATTATGACAAAGTTTCTACAAAATTACATTTTACATATCAAAGGGCTTACAAACATTCACCTTCCTGTTGTATGCCAGGTGGTATGGATACAAAGATGGACGGCTTAAAAGAAGGGCTTTCAGGCTGTATTATATTTAACCAGTGAATTTCTATTACTGAGTGTGAATGTTTCATAGTATTGGCTAAAAACAAGAATAATATGCTTTGTTTCTTGTGTTGTGGAGGAGAACTGATACTCTAATTGTGACATGGAAAGAGCCAGGCTTACATATCCATCTTTCACACTGACAGCTGTTTCATCATGAACAGCAGAACTTTCATGTAGAGCTAATAATTTCCTCAGTACAGAGTTCTTGACCTTAACAAATAGTTATGTAAATATTTACTTGACAACTCATTTCTGTGTTGAATAATGTGGAAGAGACAAATTTTGCCTGAAGAAATAGCTGACATTTAAAGAAACTTACCATATAACTGACTTGGTCCTAAGTGATGTAATGCTCACATCAGACTTAGAGCTTTCTCCTCTTGTGGAGACCAAGACCTCGAAGCACTTGCCTGAGTTCATGCATCCAGAAGTTGGGGAATCAGGATTTGAATGGAGGCATTCTGATTCTAGAGCCAGCTCTCTTAACTCTACCATGTCCCTGAAAATAATCAACAAACAGTCTATAATAGAAATAGAAAAGAGTTATTTGAGCCAAACTTAGGACTGTAGGCTGGAAGACAACCTTAGACAACTGAGGAACTGTTCCAGAGAAGCATAGTTTTCAGCATAGTTTTATGTCTTGTGAAAACAAAGAACATCAAACAAGTCAGGGTTATATTTCTTCAAGTTTTCAAAATAATAATAATAAAAAAAAGATCAGCTTGTACACAGTATGTCAGTATGGCCTTGGCACCTGGGAAGGGAGTATTATCATTGAATGAGTACCGACATGGGTGTCCCAGGAAGAGAGGCATTTAATCTTTATTTTTAACATATGGACATTCTTTACTTATGATCAGTGCACCCTTTTCCTCAATAGCACATGTACAATGTATGTATGCTAGGCCACAAACAGGCTATTTTAGTCAGCGTAAAATTTAAGTTAACTCATGTATAAGCCTGAATGACTTCCCCATACCATATGTAAAAATATCTTTTTTCAGCCATGTATTTTCCCCCTAAGAAGATATTCTCACGTATCACCAGATGATAGATTTCTTAATTATTCTTAACATTTCACTTTCAGCAATTCCAGGAAGGCCAAAAAAGTTTCCTTTTCTTTAAAAAAATAATACCTTATTCAGAAATGGAGATCGTATTTTTATATTCCACAGTTTTGTGCTCATTAAAAATGCACTGTATATACACTTACTCGTTGATTGGAATTTTAATTTTTTGGTTGAGATTGAAAACCACTTTGAATAGTTTTTCATGATCTGAATTAATATCTTGTAATCTAAATTGAATTTGTGAAATAACTTTGGCAAGTAAGAAATGGTAAACCCACTGCCAAATGCTGCTCTGTTTTATGAGAGTGAACTCCACAACTCTTTAACACTTGGAGAAGTTTTGCCACCTTTACAACCATATTGAAAATAATTAGTGAAAAAAAATTTTATCCATGGTTTCCTTTGAGTTTTGTAAGCAATAAGTAACTGTATTTTTTAAGTGCTATGGACAGGATGCTTTTTTTTTTTAAATCAGCCAAAGTGTTATATATGGCTACTGAATTAGTTCATGTAAAAAGATTTATTAATCCATTCTTATTCTGACTAAAAGCAAAAGCAGTACATTGACCTGTTTATTAGAATTCATCGTTTATTGCCAAAATAGACAACTTTTATTATCATTTTGGACTTTTCAAAAGGGAGTCTAATCTCAGCAGTTGAGTTTATGCTTTTAGGTGGTTTACTTTTCACTCTTTTGACTTCTTACGGCATGACCAATTTTAAAACACAGAATCATGTATTAAGAAAATACCCAAGGTTCAGTCTATGGTATGGATGTAGAAAGGTTCTTTTTTAATGATCTATGAGCCAGTTTTGGAGAACACTGGGTGATTATCCAGTATAAACCCCTTCATGAAGTGTCAGTCAGCTGTTCTTCAGCTGTGTTGGAATCAATACCAGCAAAGACTGCACTGTCTATTCTGCGCCCTGGTGAGATCTGTTAACATTATGTTCTTTCTTTAATCCCATACTTACACTCTTTTCAACATATGAGCAGTAATGCTTTTGTGTTTAGAAGACTTTATGTTTCTCTTTTTTATTTTTCACTCCAAGGACCCTGGAATCCATGTAAGTAGATTGGCTTGTGTAAAACAAATGATTAATTTTCTTCTGCTGTTAGTCAGCAGTACTGAAGAGCACATTTTAACTTTTCCCCCTTTCTAAGCCTCCTTCATTTTATTGTTTGCCTCAGGTTTTCTTTGACCTTTTCTTTATTTACTGCCTCATCACTTTCACTAGCTTCCTTGCCAACTTTCAACTTTGGCTTACTTCCATTTAGCATAGTAAGTCACTTCTTAACCCACAAATCTAGTAATGTAGTAATCCTTTGTCTTCTGATTTTGGGAGCACCACTTCTGATTTCTACAATAGAAAAAATAATGATGCTTTCCATATATAACATTTTTAAAATCACATTTCATATATTCTGAGAAAATAATTCAAGCAACTACATTTAAATCTTTTGAAAATGTGCTTTTTTTGGTATTTATTTCACTGACATTTTCACTAGTAAAACTGCTTAGGAATGTAATTTATTTTTAATTTGAATTGTCTTTTGTTCTCCCTGATTTCGAGGGATCAGTATGTACATGTAACTTTTATTATCAGAATCCATGAAAGTGAATAAGTACCTAATATTGACAGAATTTATGACATTTATCTTAACCTTCTTTTATAACACTTAGGTTTGCGTGTCAATAAAAGGTAGTGCTTTCAAAATTTCTAACCTTAGCTCTTTACTTTTGTATTTTTGAAATATCCAAAAACTTCATTCTTGATTACAAATGACGCTTTTTAAATATGCAGGTTTGCCATGCAGAACTTGAATTAGGGACTTGTTTTCAAGCGGTAAATAGCAGAATTCAGGTACAGATTCTTGAGGCACAGTACCTTCCAAGCTCATCGACACCCCTGGCTTTGAGTAAGTATGTTAATGGTTCAAAGTAGAATCTTCAGAAAGTATTTGTAAAAGATAGTTTTTTCCTACACTTCTTACAATGGAGATTTTATATATGTATTTTTTATTGAAGTGTGGTTGATTTACAATGTTGTGTTAATTTCTGGTGTATAGCATAGTGATCCATTTATATATATGTGTGTGTGTGTGTGTGTGTGTGTGTATGTATTCCTTACGATGGAGATAAAAATCTTAGTTACTTTTATTATTTAACTTAAACACTTACCTTGTGGCTTAAAATTACTTTATTGGGTTTCAAATTTAGGCATTGTGTCTACCTTAATCCACCGGTCTCTTGATTCTTATCCAATTGTGATGTCTCTGCATTTGATGCTATTCCTTATTTAGCTCATTAGTTAATATAGGTTGAATATCCAGAGGATTGTCAGTTATGTTTCACCAGCCTAGTTAATTTATCCTCTCTGTAGGTCTATGCCCTGTTTTGTATACTCTGTTAACTAGAAACTTAATTTAAAAACACTGAAAGTATCAAACACAAACCTTGAAACACTTTTCCTGCCCTGAGCCTTTGAGTCCAGCCAGGGATTCTGATATTTTGATTGTCTAGGCCTGGTTCACATGTCTAGACTGCCCCTAGAGCTGAGGTTTGAGGTCAGTCCTACCTTTAGGGTAAGAGTTGGGTAAGGGTGTTCCTTTTTCCTACTACGTAAAGAGAAAATATCTGGAGGCAGGCAGAAGCAATGGATGTCCACTGTAACTGTAAAGACTGAAAATAAATACAACTTAGCACTCAATTCAAGAAGCTAGAAAATTAGCAGCAAACACGAAGGGAAGTAGAAGTAGGAATTAAAGCTAAAGTTGAAGTTGACAAATATGGAGACAACAGCAAAACACAAAATGAAACCAGTAGATTTTTCCTTGAAAAGAATATTAAAGTAGGCAAACCTATAGTAAGCTAGATCAAGCAAAGAATAAAAACATGAACGCGGAAAAGGATATAATTTCAAATTCAGAAGAGATTCAAAAATAAGTAAGACAATCCATTTATAACTGTGCCAATTCATTTGAACATCTATATAAAATAAATGATTTTCTAAGAAGAAAATTGTTGAAATTCACTCCAAAAGAGTGATAAGTCTGAATAGAACAATAACCACGTAAAAGTAGTTGAAGAATTGCCTCTAATAAAAGCAGAGGCCAAGATGATTTTACTGGCAGATTCTACCAAACTTTCAAGGAACATGTAATTCCTATTCTATATAAGCTGTTCCACAATATGAAAAATAAATAGAAAAAGTTAACTTTATGAGGTCAGCATATTCTTGATATCAAAGCAGAAAGGATAGCTTACACAAAAAGTAGCTATGGATAGATGGAATAATCATAAAATAAAAAGCAAATAAAGTCCAACTTGGCACTAAAAGAATAAATTAAATTACCAGGACTATCTAGGGTTAATTCCAGGAAACAAGGACAAAGGTAGAAATTTACAGATGTAGATTAATAGATGTCTTCCTTTAATCAAAACTGCCAATCAGGTTTACCAGTGATCTCCATTTTAAAAACGATGGTCAGTCTCAGTCCTCACTTTGTGGCTGCCTTGTTTCTGGAAGGTCTCTCCTCACCTTCTTGCTGTCTGGTAGCCCCATCTCTACCATGACTTCTCAAATTAGTCAGACTGCACTTTCTCCTTGAGCTATAAGCACCGTGTGTCAGACTGGGGAGTAGTCTTAGGTGAAAAGCTGTACAAACCTGAATTTTACTTAGTGCAGTTTCCATCTTTTAAGAATAGACTCTCCTCCAGTTTCTTCTTGCTTTTGGTCAATGTTTAGTATCTTGAACAGTTGTTTTTACTATTTCCCCCAGAGTTTATAATTGACATCTATGGGAAGGTTATTTTGTAGAAGCTATTCTACCATTACTGGAAGCGCTACACCTCAAATTTATTTAAAGAATAGATTTCTCTAGTGGGCTTATGTTCAACTTCTGGAGTCTCAAGCAAAGAATTTTACCTATATAGATTTGTGGAATGAATTCCTCCAGCTTTCCAAAGAGTTGGCACCTCTCTTTTTTGTAATCCTTTTCAATATGTTCTCTTGTGCTGCTGATTGTTATTTATGCCTATGATTTCTGTCTTTAATAGCATTCAGGTTAGAGAAAGATTAAAATTCATTTGAGGTTACAGTAGTTATTTGAAAGTGTGATAAAAATAAAGTTTACTAGATGATATAGCTCATCAGATCTTTAAAAAAGTATATTTTTAGAACATATGGTTATATATCTTCATATGGAATTAAAAATTTTTTATATAGTAAAAATTTCTTATTTTTTCAGGTTTTTTTGTGAAGGTGGCAATGTTGAGTGCAGGAGAGTTGATTTATAAGAAGAAGACACGCTTACTGAAGGCCTCCAATGGGAGAGTAAAGTGGGGAGAGACTATGATTTTTCCACTTATACAGAATGAAAAAGAAATTATTTTTCATGTTAAACTTTATAGTCGAAGCTCTGTAAGAAGACGACATTTCGTGGGGCAGGTTAGTAGGGAGTTTTTATCTTGAATTCTTTATTTACACTTTTCTATGCATTTCTATACAGTTAGGAATACAGGATAAAACTAAAGTTGAATAGAGTAAAATTCTTCAGTATCATAAGTTAAAATTCAGTGTTACCACAAAAATCGAATCTTGTCAGACTTTTTGCTTTAGTACAAATAGTTGGAATTTCTGAGCAATCAGACTTCTTAAGTTTTTTCTGAACTTTTCAACTTTTAAAGTGATAAGAAAGATCAAGTTTTCAGTACTCCTGACTTGTTCCTTGTGAATAAGGGAGTGCTATTTCAATTATATTTCTTAAGGCTGCAGATATACAAGCAGTAAATGTTTATTGTTATATGTTAACAAAGAAATTCTGTGTCATGTTAAATTTAATGTTTAACTCTGTATGCTGCTAATTGAATTGTGTTAGATTTGAATTCCTAGAAGACATCAATTTTAAGTGGTTGTTACAATTGTCAATAATGGTGTCTGGATTAATCTATTTAAAAATTCTTGGTAATTTGCATAACATAACATTTGCTTATTGCTTGCCAATTCTACAGTAACTTGTTTCCTTTTGTAATTTCTTTCTTTACTCTTAGTGAGTTACTAGTAACTGTCCATTATTTTTTATCTTAATTACAATTGTTTAGTCACATTTAAATTCCAAAATCTATGTTATTGCTTTAAAAACTTCTACTTCAAAACAAGATGTTACTAGCAGTCTACTACATCCTTAAATTATATGTGAATTTTCAAAGATTGATACTAACTTTGATTCCTTTCTTCCTATATTTTACCAAAAATATTTGTCAAAAATATAGTTTTGTTGTTCTTCATTTACTCTTATTTGGAAAAGAGTTTGAACTCAAGAATTCATAAAGCTAACATAGTTTTCAAAGTCATGAGGCCTTAGAAATGGATTCAGTTAAAGTTTTCCCATATCAAGCCTCACCCGCCATGTATGAATGGAATTGGAGATATACTTGACAGATGATTTTCAGGATCACTTTCTTGGTTGAGATTTCAGTTAAGAGTAATAATTCTGGAAAGGTTCTTGTTGGTCATCTCTTCCTTCTGGCTTCTCTGGTTGCTTCAGGAGCCAAATGTGAAATCAAGGTCTCCCACTTCTATATCAGCCAAAGCACCCTAGTGTTATCTGTTTTATATATTGGGATTCATGGTAAGATTTTTTATTTGAAGAAAAATTTCTTCAGATCAAGAAATTAAGAGAAAAAATTAGAAAACCAAACTTTTTTGGAGTGGCCTGTTCCAATTTCTTTATTTGAAAGAATTAGAAGCTGAGTCTCAGAGAAGTTAACCCCAAAATAACAGCATTTGTTAGTTCTATAGCTAAGTTGAGAATTCAGATTTTTTTTGTTTCCTTGTTCACCTTGCCTCCATGGTTTGTCACCATTGTGATATCTTATATTTGCATAATGCTTTACAGTTTTCCCAGATTCATTCACATCTAAAGTTACATAAATAATAGAGTCTATGAAATTGTTTACTATGGATCAAGTATGACTATTTATTAGATTTCAATTAAATTACAGTTTTATTTAATATAAAAGTTACTTTAAAAACACATTCCTTACCAATCAACTTAAATCATGATTAATCTTAGTTAATCTTTACAAAATGTTTTTGAGTGATTAGGATCAGTTTAAGTTGAGCTCCTAGATTTAGTGGATAAGAAAGGATACTAATAATTATTTTGGAGGAAATGATTTTGTAATATCTCAAGTTGAATGTTTTAATTGAATTGCATCACATAAAATAGTCTTCAGAGTGACTAAATAGATTAAATATTTTAACATTTGAGTTTCAGATAGATAAACAAGGTCTTATGAAAATGGAAAGATGCTTAATTGAAAATGTGTAAACCAAACTTCCAGTTGTCTTTCATTAATAAGAGTAATTAATTGTTTGAACTCATTTACCATCATTCTTTTAGATTAAATGATTGTACTATTCCTTTACAGATTTGGATAAGTGAAGATAGTAATAACATTGAAGCAGCGAACCAGTGGAAGGAGACAATTACAAATCCAGAAAAGGTTGTTATCAAGTGGCACAAATTAAATCCATCTTGAAGACCTCGCATATTAATTTGGTGAAGAACCTGACATTCTTTTAAAAGACTCATAATTTCAGTTTGCTACCAATGAGAAGAGATAAATCAGTACATTTGTCAGTTTATTTATGGAGGTCTTAATTATAGCATATAATGAATGGATCTAACAGAAAATTAAACTTGATGAAAAAATGGGATGAATTATATCAGTTTTCCAAAGTAAAGGAAATATTTTAAAACTGTGCTGAAATAGACAATAGAATAAATGGGTAGTATTACTAAGGCAACTAAATAAATTATAAAATCAATGAAAATATCAGCCATAGATAGTTACTGCTATGTTTTGGGGGTTTTTTAAGCTTTACCTAGATAGTCAAAATCCGGTATATCAAGTCTTTGTTATACTTTAGGCATTTAGAAGACTTTTAGCACTATTTCAGTGCTAGTCATTGTTGTTAGGTCTTAACTCCATTGTTTGCTTCTTGCTACATAGTTTCTCTCAGAAAGCAAAATTGAATTGAACCTCTTCAACTCTTCTGTATTTGGGGGAAAGTTTGTGCGCTGTGTTTGTCATTTCTTACCCATAAGTTATCACATTGTAAGCTATTTATTGCCAAGAAACTTCAGGCATAGAAAACTACATTTTGGCAGGAATAAATGAAAACACCAGAAGATTGAAGTTAAATTGGAAACCCAGTATACATACATTTTGCTATGTTTTCCTCCTTCACGGCCTCTTTGTTTTAGTTGGACATGAAATAAGATTATCGTCCATATATGGCCCATCCTAATTAGCAGAATTAAATGAGCTTAAGTGGCAAAATGAGAGTTTTATGATTACTTCCTTGTTTTTAGTTCTTAGAATATAAATTACTTGTTCTATAATCTGCAACATTAGGACATTAGAATATTTTCCTATATTTTTGAAATAACCATACATGATAACACTATGTAGCAAATAAATATTTTCTGTTGCAGTTTCTCTCAGGTAATTATTACAACTCAATATATAAGAATAATTTCAGTTTAGTTGGTTATACAAGCCATGGCCGAAAAGCACAGTTGTTTGGAGAAACAGATAACACCATCCCTGATCTTGGAAACCATGACTTTATTTTTGCTGATGGGTAGACTAAGTTTTTTGTGTTCATGGTCTTCCATTTTTCTTTTTCTCTTACCTTGTCCCACACATGCCAAGAGATAGATGGTGATATTTTAGGATAGAAGTATATACTTTGCTGTAACTTAAGTCTGCCCTTTTCATTTTAATTCTTAATTTCTCTGTATCCCATTAAGATTTTCTCAATAAAACACTAATTCCTCTTTGCCTAGGTACCACCTCCTCAAGCTACAAATTGTACATATTTTATATACCCTTTTCTTCTGTAGCCTAGAATTTATGGTATACTGGTGATGTTGACAGGTACTCTCTGACACTGTGCATTTTGAAATTTTTTTTTTTTTAGATGTGTGAAAAATGGCCTATTGGTGAGTACTCACATGGACTTTTAAGAGAAATCACCCTGTGTGGTAATGTTTTTAATTTTTGAGATAAATGGCAACTACTTTTAAAGATTTTTTAAAAATAGACTTTAAGAGCTGTTTTAGGTTCACAGCAAAATTGAAAGGAAGTTACAGAGAGTTCCCACATACCCTCTACCCACACATTTGCACAGTCTCCCTCACTATCAACATCTTGCACCCTAAGGATACATTTGTTAAAAATCAGTGAACCTTCTTTGACACATCATCATCACCCAAAGTCCATAGTTTATATTAGGATTCATTTTTGATATTTTACATTCTATGAGTTTTGATAAATGCACAAATGACATGTATCTGCCACTCTAGTATCATACAGATAGTTTTCACTGCCCTAAAAATCCTCTGCAAATATAACCATTTTAATAGCTACCAAAGAAGTAAGTGTATAGGCTTTTAGAGGCTAAGTAACAGACTTTGTTTTAAAAAATCTAGAATTTTATTTGAGCAGTTTTTTTTGTATTCTATCAATGCTTTCAATTCCTAAACTTATTATATATATAGTCATGTATTTAACTCAATTTTTAATTTTATTTAATTTTCAGTATTTTTACAATATGTGTGTAAAGTATAATTTGAAGGAAAGCTATGATTTCTTGGTTTCTTATATGTCTTAGAATCCTAGGTAAATAAAACAATTAAAAAAAAACTTCGTTTACAAGACTTCAGTTACAGAAGTCTTGACGTAATGAAGATCCCAAATATTTTAATTAGTGTTTATGTAAGCCTTTTCTCATGGAGAGGTAGGTACTGAATACAGGTGATATTTTTGTTGTTTAATTGAAGCTTTATGTGGAAATATAAAGAGAAAACACTTCTGTTAATAGCTACTCATATAATGAGGAAAACATTGGAAATTGGTAATAAAAAATGAGATACTATACAAAAAAATCACTTCCCTTTGTATTTCCTTAGCATGCCTTTACCTTTACCCACTATGACAACAAGAAGGAATCAAAATGATGCTAGTTAACCAGAGAAATTCATGGAAAGGTTCAGTGATAGCTGATAGTTTCTGTAGTGCTAATCCCTAGTAGTGTATTTATTTATAAATCTTCAGATTAACACAGTTAAATAGCTGCAGTGCATATCAAAACAACACCACTGTTTGACTTTCATTTAGTTTTGCATGATTTTTTTAGCAGAACTAGAGAACTTACCATTGAAGTATATCAGGTACAGCTCTTATCAGACTGTTTAGAGGGAACCGGTGAGATTTTGAAAATAAGTTATGTAATTGTGATCTGAAGATAATCTAAACTGATCTTCTGTTTGAATACAGTTATGTGAATTGCTCTGATACTAATGTACAGAAACTGTATTTGCCAACAAAAATTTCCAGTTTAATCAAATAATTGTTTATTTTTGAAGGATTTCAGAAATGTGCAATAAATTTCAACTTTTTATATTATGGCAGTAATGGATATTTCAACAATATATGTTTTCTTTTGGTATTTGATAGGGAATATTGAGGGAAGTTTCAGGTATCTACAGTAGTTGTGAGACCATTTACAACTGACCCTTGAACAAACACAGGGGTTGGGGTACCACCCCTTGTGTGGTTGAAAATCTGAGTATATCTTTGTATTTGGCCCTTCATGATCCCAAATCCATGGATTCAAATAACTTTGTATTATGTGGAACTGTAGTATGTTCTTATTGAAAAAATCTGCATATAAATGGACCCATGCATTTCAAACCTGTGTTGTTCAAAGGTCAACTGTATTAGAGTTTCCAGAGAAACAACCAATAGGAGATAGATTGGTAGGGAGGGAGATACAAATTTTCTTGTAATTGTGAGAGATTGTCTTATGTTTATGTAAGCTGAGAAATCCCACAATATGCCATGCAAGCTGGAGACCCAGGAAAGGCAGTGGTATAATTCAGTCCAAATCCAAAGGCCTGAGAACCAGAGGAACCAATGGTTATAAATCCTAGTCTGAGATCAGGAGAAGATGAGATGAGATGTCCCAGCTCAAGCAGTGAGACCGGGGGTGAGGGGGAAGGGCAAATTCCTCTTTCCTCTGCCTTTTGTTCTTTTCAGGCCCCCAACAGATTGAAAGATGCCCACAATGATGCAAGTCCCAGTCTCATCCAGAAATACCCTCACAGACACACCCAGAAATCATATTTAATCTGGGCACCCCTGGCCAGTCAAGCTGGCATGTAAAATTAACTATGGTAGATACCTACTAGTATTCTTTTGATGCATTAGTTATAATTCTTGTTCAACAATGAATTTCAAATGCTTGAAGTTTTGGCTGAAACACTGAGAAAAAAATTATGAAAAGTAGTTGTATATGAAGTACCATGTCCATTTTGAAATACAGATTTAAGATTAAAAAAGGCCTTAAAGAATGATAACCTGAAATAGACTGCAGATATTTCTTTAGGAAAGATGGATTTATTTGGGATCAGCAGAGAATTGCGATTGAGGGTCTGCTACCTCGGTGAGCTGTGTGCAAGTCCCCACACGCGAGAGAAGGAGAACACTTTTTATAGAGAGTTACAGGAAATTGGGAGGGCTACAGTAAAAAAGTCTGTGGCTTTTCATTGGCTGAGTCCTAGTCAGGAAAGCAGAGGAGTCTCTTCTTGTTGGGCTTGGCTAGCATTGCGGAGCATGAGAGCTCCCCCTTCTGATCCCCCAACTCTATTTGAGGTTTCTGCGTATTCTTTTTGCAAGAGTAAACGTAGCCCTACAAAGTTGGATTGTATTTTATGGCTGATGAATTGTCTGAGGATGAATGCTGCCTACATTTTCAGTAATTTCCTAGTTGAAAATTTTTTTAACTTAGTGGTTATGGATTTTTAAGCTTTTTCATGTATAAAAAGTGATTTCTAAAATAACTACTTTATTTAAATTGATAACCAAATTAAAGCATATAACTATAATAACTGTGTAACTATATTAAACTGTAGGATTCTGATAACAGCAATAGATGTCTAGAAAGAAAGTTCTGTGTGTCTTCTCAGATGGCTGAAAGATATCTAATTCCATGCTGGGCTGAATCACTGAATGCTATTACGTCTTTTAGAATATGATCATTTTCATTTTCATTTTCGTCACGCTGTGGAACTTGTTTCTTGGGTCACTATTCTTTAGTTTCTGAGGCAGGAGGGTGCTAAAATGTATTTGTCATTAATCGTAGGACTAGATTTATTTTAACAGATAAATTTGGCTGACTGTGGCTCTGAATTGTCTTCTAGGTTAATTTCTGGGTCATTAATCTTTTTTGATTATACAATGTATGGACTAAGTTATAAACTAAATTTTTAAATGAGCCATTTTATATATTTAATAATTAAGTACAAAAATATCGATAGAATACTTCATGTAAAGAAATGTTCTAGGTGTTTCAGGGATACAAAGATGAATAATCCATCACTCTTTACTCTGAGGTTTTATATTTTAGTAAGGAAATAAAACACTATAAAGCAGGGCTGTAATAAAAAGCAGGATTTGAGGTATGGACAAAATGCTTTCTTTAGAGACTCAAATAAAGAAATAATTAACTACAGCTTAAGGGAAAAAATACAGCTTAAGGGATTAGGAAAAGTTTGGTAAATCCCTGATCTGAAACACACAAAACTAGGCAGATTGGTAACACTATTAATTCATGATCACTTCATGATCAATTCATGATCACTATTAATGCATGATCAGAATCTTAGTTCATTTCTTATATCAGCTGACTCACTGTGAAAAACACTTTACACTTCCTTCTACCCTCTTCTAATCTTCAACCCACCTGCTCCTTCTTTTACTCTTCATAGAAGATCCTATTTCATGCTTCACAAAGAAAACTGTATCAGGCATTTCTTCACCATCCCACCATCATGTCCACAAACTTATTTTTACCCATATCCATCCTGTTACGTTAGAAAGTCAGTTCTTTCTTGGGAATTCTGAATCCAACCCTTTGCTTTTTCAGGAATCTCATTCCTTTTATTATGCCTATTCTCTCCTATCTTGAGCCTCTCCTCTACTGGATCCTTCCTGTCATCATTCAGATCTCCTCGGTTCATGCATGACTGTCTCAAAATACGCTGGTGATGTGTGCAATGGAAAGAACCCACCAGACATAATTGAGGGTGTCAAGTTTCTGTATTGATGAAAGAACTTAGGAAAACAGTACATAAAGCAGGGACAATGCAGCCTACTCCCAGTGTAGATCTGTCCTCCCAGGTCCCCTCAGGTCCCCCTGGGGCATACAACTATGAGTGAGTCTTACACGTGGCTGGTGGAGACTCAGAAGCTCTGTTTTCATTCTCACAGGAATTTTTTTTCTTTCTCCACTTTCCTTCTCTCACCTGGCTATTCATTCCTAAGCATAGCCTTCATTTCTGCTTGCTCAACAAGTGTTTTTAACTGGCAGAAGGCAGTCCCAAAAGCTTCCTGAGTAATTAGTAAGAATTTAAGTGTAATTAATGAATAGGAACATTAATTTCTCAGCATAGTATGTCAGGTCACCAGTACTTCAGGCCTCTCTGCAGCCTATTTCCTTATTTTAAGAAATTCCTAGGCCTCCCATCCTGATCTAGATTCTGGTTTATTTGGTCTCCCCTTCATAGGTAATTTCTAGCCGCTCTGTTCTTACCCTGTTCTCTTCATTTGCCCTTCCCCACCACTCCATGAACCTCATGCTGAAGTCTTAAGTGCTTTTCAGCTGTTTTTTTCTTTATTACTCAGTTTTCTTAACAATAGATCTCCTCCTCCTTGAAACCATTTCTTCCTTTAGCTTTCATGCTCTGCTTGTTGTCTTATTACCTTTGTAGCCTTTCCTTTTCTTTCTTCTCTGTTAGCTCATCTTCGTGCACTTTAAAAATTGGGAGCTCCTTAGTTCTCAGTCCTAGACCATCTTCTCTTCTCATTCCACATTATCTCTCAGGACAATCTCATCTGTTCCCATGACTGTTCCCAAATGATGTCCAATTGCTAAAGGCTGCCAAATTTTCATTTGTACACAAATCTTGCTAATGAGGCCCATTGTCATTTGACTAATGTGGGCATCTTTTCTTGAACATTATCCTAAACCAAGCTTTTTACTTCCCATTTCTACCATAAGTCTGGCTCCGTTGTTCCCCATCCAAGTAAAGGGAACTATCACCCACCTGGTTGCTCATCCCAGAGACCTAGGAATCACTTTGGAGCTCAGTCATCCTATTCAGACATGTATTTAAGTAGATCTGGAATCCATCCATTTCTCCATCTCCACTGGACTTGCCTAGGCAAAGGCAACATCATCTTCCACCGTAGTACTGTACTGTCCCCATAATTGATCTCCCTCTTGTTTCTCTCTAATCCACTCTCCACCCAGCAACCAGAGTGGTATTTTTTTTAATGCAAATATGATTATCACTCCTTAGTTCCCAGTGCTCTTGGTGTGAAGTCCAAAATCCTTCACATGGTCTACAAGGCCCTATATAGTCCAAGCTCTGCCTTCCATTCCTGTTTCAATTCTTGGAAGACGGTACACACCTCACTTCCTCAGGATCCTTGCACATGTTGTTTCTTCTGTGGGGAATAGTTTTCCGCTTTACTCTTACCTTTGCCAAATCCTATACTTTTTCTGGATGCTAGCTTAAATGTCTATTCCTCAGAGAAGTCTTTTTTTTTTTTACCTCTTAGGCAATACTAGATCCTGTTTTCATATAAATTTCCCTTTATAGCTTTTATTATAGTTGTAATTAAATAATTGCATAACTTTATTTAGTGTCTCCACTAACACTGAAGTTTCCGTGAAAGCAGGGTCATGTTTCTTGCTTCATTCCTGAGGCTGGCACAGTACCTGGCATATGTAAATACTTGTTTATTCATTCATTTAACTGATAAGCAGCGTTTTGGGCATTAGGGATATAGCAATGAATAAACCGAAAAAAAT